AGAGACAGGCTAGAGAGAGAGACAGGTTAGAGAGAGAGATTCAGGTTAGAGAGAGAGAGACAGGTTAGAGAGAGAGAGACAGGTTAGAGAGAGAGAGACAGGTTAGAGAGAGATTCAGGTTAGAGAGAGACAGGTTAGAGAGAGAGACAGGTTAGAGAGAGAGAGAGACAGGTTAGAGAGAGAGACAGGCGGTCTCACCTTGCGTCTGTTGTTGTTGTTGTTGTTGTTGGTCCCATCACTGTCGTCATGGAGACAGTCTGACTCCTCCTCCTCCTCATCTTTGGGACTGAAACACAATCTCTGTTAGCGTCTTTAACGTGTTTGAGCAGGAAGTCACTCAGGTCACCCTGCGGTCACCGTGTGGTACCCTGTGGTCACTCTGTGGTACCCTGTGGTCACTCTGTGGTCACTCTGTGGTCACCGTGTGGTCACTCTGTGGTCACCCTGCGGACACTCTGAGGTCACTCTGTGGTCACTGTGCGGTCACCCTGCGGACACTCTGAGGTCACTCTGTGGTCACTGTGCGGTCACTCTGTGGTCACCGTGCGGTCACCCTGCGGTCACTCTGCGGTCACCGTGTGGTCACTCTATGGTCACCCTGCGGACACTCTGCGGACACTCTGTGGTCACTGTGCGGTCACCCTGCGGTCACTCTGCGGTCACCGTGTGGTCACCCTGCGGACACTCTGTGGTCACTCTGCGGTCACCGTGTGGTCACTCTGTGGTCACTCTGTGGTCACCCTGTGGTCACTCTGTGGTCACTCTGTGGTCACTCTGTGGTCACCCTTGTGGTCACCCTGTGGTCACTCTGTGGTCACCGTGTGGTCACTCTGTGGTCACTCTGCGGACACTCTGTGGTCACCCTGCGGTCACTCTGCGGTCACCGTGTGGTCACTCTATGGTCACTGTGCGGACACTCTGCGGTCACTCTGTGGTCACTGTGCGGTCACCCTGCGGTCACTCTGCGGTCACCGTGTGGTCACTCTATGGTCACCCTGCGGACACTCTGTGGTCACTCTGTGGTCACTCTGTGGTCACCCTGTGGTCACTCTGTGGTCACTGTGCGGACACTCTGTGGTCACCGTGTGGTCACTCTGTGGTCACCCTGTGGTCACTCTGTGGTCACCGTGTGGTCACCGTGTGGTCACTCTGTGGTCACTCTGTGGTCACTCTGTGGTCACCCTGTGGTCACTCTGTGGTCACTCTGTGGTCACCGTGTGGTCACTCTGTGGTCACTCTATGGTCACCCTGCGGTCACCGTGTGGTCACTCTATGGTCACCCTGCGGACACTCTGCGGACACTCTGCGGTCACTCTGCGGTCACTGTGCGGACACTCTGTGGTCACCGTGTGGTCACTCTGTGGTCACTCTGTGGTCACCCTGTGGTCACCCTGTGGTCACTCTGTGGTCACCGTGTGGTCACTCTGTGGTCACCGTGTGGTCACTCTGTGGTCACCGTGTGGTCACCCTGCGGTCACTCTGCGGTCACCGTGTGGTCACTCTGTGGTCACTCTGTGGTCACCGTGTGGTCACTCTGCGGTCACTCTGCGGTCACCCTGCGGTCACTCTGCGGTCACTCTGCGGTCACCCTGTGGTCACTCTGTGGTCACCGTGTGGTCACCTGTGGTCACTCTGTGGTCACTCTGTGGTCACCGTGTGGTCACTCTGTGGTCACCGTGTGGTCACTCTGCGGTCACTCTGCGGTCACCGTGTGGTCACTCTGCGGTCACTCTGCGGTCACCGTGTGGTCACTCTGTGGTCACCCTGTGGTCACTCTGTGGTCACTCTGCGGTCACTCTGTGGTCACCCTGTGGTCACTCTGTGGTCACTCTGCGGTCAAACTAAACTATTAAAATAATTATCACAATACTTATTTTGATATTTTAAAAACATCAACATCCGGGGTATTTAATAACAAAGACTAGTCTCGGTGTTTTGAATATCTTATGATGACGTAGTTCCTGTTCCTGATCTAATCCTCCCGCAGAGTCAGAAAAAGTGAAACCAGTATCTTTCTACTCAAACCAAACTAAAGTATATTTTATAAAGAAGGGTTTTAAGTTTTAGTTTCCTAATTTAATCTAATACATTTAAATGTAACTGATATTTATAACAGAGATGATGCTAGCTGTTAGCCGTCTGCTCCGGCTTCGTTCCGGTTATTTACCGGTTATTTACCGGTTATTTACCGGTTAAAAAAAGAGTCTTACCGCTCCAGCTGATTCATTCCTCCTCTGTCTGTCTCCCTCTCCTCGCTCCTAATCCTTTATTCCTTTATTTATTCACTTCTTTATCTTCGACTCTTTCCTCCTCATGCGGCTCCGCAGCGTCTCGCATCAGTTCTCGGCTGCCAGTGCGCATGTGCGGAAGCAGTGTGTACGGGATGGGAGAAGGGACAATCGTCTTCTTTTTTTTTTTTAAATGTATTTATTTTTTTGTACATTATCGGCGTAACATCACAAACTACATACCTGAAAATAGAATTCCAGGTGAAGGACAACCCGTAGATACAAAAAACACAAATAAATAAATAATTCAATTAACAAATAAATAAACAACTGAAAATCAAATTAAATAAATAAAAAAAGTAGTGTATTGCGTTTCAAGAGAAAGCGAACAGCTGATAACTCAAACATAAACATGACATTTATTACAATCATTAATAGTTTTGAATTCTTCTTCTGCTGCTTCTTTAACTGCTTCTTCTTCTTCTTCTGCTGCTTCTTCTTCTGCTGTGGCTTCTTCTTCTTCTTCTGCTGTTGCTTCTTCTTCAGTGTTTGGTATCTAGAATGTTGCATTACCCTCTCCCCCTGGATCTGAAGTTATCCTACAGTTTTCTTACTACTTTAAACAAAAATAAAAAGGAATAATAATATTACTTTAAACTGAATGTTTTGAGTGGGATCTTTGTGTTTTGGGTTAGGGTCTTCTCTTAAAGAGAGGTGATGGTTAACAGCTGTGACTAGATTTTAAATACATTTATAATATAATAATAATATAAATCAAATAGGAGGTACCTGTACTGGATCAAAGTGTTTCTGTTTTAGGTTATTTATACTTTAATCAAACTTTTAACTCATTTTGTCTGAGATAAAGACTTTAATGTTTTATTTTCAACAACTTATAACAGGGGTAAGCAGTTTTATTTTGAAGAGATAAAAGAGAAACATTTCAGAATAAGATTCTTTATTAAAAAAGGCTAATGTGACATTTTTTTGTGACAGCGCCACTCAGTGGACATAACAGGAAGTGCACCCCTGTTTCTGACCACCTGACACACACCTGACTGACCAACCACAACACACATGTTGAGCTTTTATTTTGACATAAACAATGACAGAGATCAATAAGCGTTTCCTGCTGTGTGATGTCATACATACGGCTCCGCCCCCAGGTGACTTAAAATTCAGTATATGAAGTCACACAAATTTGCATCACCATATATGGGCATGGGGGCTGCATAGGCCCTCTGATTGGACAAGCCTGCCGTCTGTCTTCGAACCAATCAGGAAAAAGGAAAATATTTTTTTTAAGTGATTTTCCAGAAACAAACCTTTTTTAGAGCAACAAAGTAACGACAACAGCTGTCAATCAAAACAACAGCTGTCAATCAAAACATCAGCTGTCAATCAAAACATCAGCTGTCAATCAAAAAAATCAGCTGTCAGTCAAAACATCAGCTGTCAATCAAAAAAATCAGCTGTCAGTCAGAACATCAGCTGTCAGTCAAAACATCAGCTGTCAATCAAAACAACAGCTGTCAGTCAAAATATCAGCTGTCAATCAAAATATCAGCTGTCAGTCAAAACATCAGCTGTCAGTCAGAACATCAGCTGTCAATCAAAACATCAGCTGTCAGTCAAAACATCAGCTGTCAATCAAAACATCAGCTGTCAATCATACATCAATCAAATGGAAACACAAAAAAGAAATGCAGCGGTCACTAAGGTAACCAGAACAGTTGATGATGTCATCAGTCATGAGTTGGATCAGCATTCAGCAGGGAGGTTAGTCTGCGTCACAGGTTGTCATGGTTACTGACATGTGGGCGGGGCTTAAACAGACCTCCGACCTGTGCAGAAAAAAAACTAACCTTTACATTAAACATGGGTGTCATCACCCTTTGACCCGTCAGAAGTCCCGCCCTTGATTTCTGGCAGTCAATTGATCAGAAGGGGCGGGGCTTCCACCAATGCTACACTACGCTTACTACACCTACCCACAATCCATTGTTCCAGTGCAACAGCTCAGCTAACTAATAAGAGCTGACCTAACAACTAGCCTAGCATGGTATATCACCCACAGTGCTACAGAGGCTAACAACGAGCTGATTGAGCTAACGGCTAACGAGCAGCTGATTGGTTGAGGCCTAGTCCACACGTAGACGGGTATTCAAGAAAAACCTAATTTTGCATTTTTGCCATTCGTGCTGAAACTGCGTTTTAGGTGTTTCTGTGTTTGACGTCATCGTGCGACGCTGTCAATTTAGTTTACATGAGATTAGTGCGATGGCAGACGTAAACCAAACTAGCGCTGGTGCTAACGATGCTAACTGGAATAAATATTAATGGATAAAGCCTGAGTGGCGTTCCCCGTCTGTTCCTGCAGGGGGCGCTGGAGTCCCATCGATGGCGGTCTCCATGGTTTTAAACCTCCTGACAAACCGTTACACTGCGCCCACCTGTCAATCAGGTCAGCTACACGCCTTATTGTGAATAACTCTTATCCTTCATCAAATCAAAACTGATGAGTCATCAAAACATTCACCCCCCGTACAGTGTGTGTCCATCCAGACATGAGCTAATCACACCTATTTGGTTTTTTGAACCAGGCTGTAAACATGTTCATCTCTGCTGTAAAAACAGGCTTTTTAGAATGGGTGTGTATGTGACTTCCTGTGCTTCTGCAGCCAGCCTCTAGTGGACACTCCAGGAACTGCAGGGTTTTACACTTCAGCATCAGCTTCATGTTTCAACACTGGAGGTTACTGCTTGGACGAGACCCGGTCTGACTTCGGGTTGGTGGAACAACTTTGAAAGAACATTTTCACATGTCCAGGACAACGCTGTTCACTTGGCGTGTTCATGAGAGCCGTGACAGCGTTTGTGCGTTTTTATGAAGACGAAGATGTTTTAGAGACATCAGTGTGTCTTATTTCATTAAAAGAGGTTTTAAAAATACCTGCCTATGTGTGGACGAGACCTGAGATTGTCGAGGAAAGACTTTGATCCCTGATTGAACCCGATGATATGTTTTTTATAAAAACCTTGATCAGTTCAAAATGTGTCAATCAAATCTTCAAAGTTCTGATTTAAAGTTTAAATGATTTAAAAAGTGCAAAATATCATTTTAACACGATTGAAAGAGGGAAAGAGTTTAACACTAAAGGGAGACAGGTAGGTATTAAATAAATAATGAAAACATATTTAAAAAAAATCAGTTATTTTTAGATTATTTAAAGTGAGAGAGTAACAAAAAATGAAAAAAACATAAAAAATTATTTTAAGATTTTTTTAACTCTTGAATAAAAACAGTTTTCAAAGTTAAACTTTTCTGAACTCTGATCTGTTTGTGCTTTCTAACTCACAAAGACACCTGATTGGTTTGTTCAGCCTGATGTCAGCACAGTGACTCCGCCCACAGCCCATCAGCTCTGCCTCCTGATTGGTCAGAACTCCTGATTGTCATAAGTATCGTTCAGTTATTGGAGGATTTATTGCTCTCACAGAGACCACAGTGTTCACTTTGCTGGTTCAATAAAGCTGGCTTCTTTCAAACAGTTTGTAAACAAACGGCTGCTTGTCAATAAAGTTTGATTCAAATGTTCCACACATTAATAAAGTTTTCATTTAAATCATCTGTGTTTAGAGCAGCTAACAGGCTAACTGTAGCACCGCCTGGAAGACATTAACGACCTCATCTTCATCGTCTTTATCACCATCATCATCACACACACATGAACACACACACACAGAGACACACACACAAACACACAGACACAGACACAGACACACACACACACACACACACACACACACACACACACACACACACAGACACAGACACTCTGCGGTCACTCTGCGGTCACCGTGTGGTCACTCTATGGTCACCCTGCGGACACTCTGTGGTCACTCTGTGGTCACTCTGTGGTCACCCTGTGGTCACTCTGTGGTCACTGTGCGGACACTCTGTGGTCACCGTGTGGTCACCGTGTGGTCACTCTGTGGTCACTCTGTGGTCACTCTGTGGTCACCCTGTGGTCACTCTGTGGTCACCGTGTGGTCACCGTGTGGTCACTCTGTGGTCACTCTGTGGTCACTCTGTGGTCACCCTGTGGTCACTCTGTGGTCACTCTGTGGTCACCGTGTGGTCACTCTGTGGTCACTCTATGGTCACCCTGCGGTCACCGTGTGGTCACTCTATGGTCACCCTGCGGACACTCTGCGGACACTCTGCGGTCACTCTGCGGTCACTGTGCGGACACTCTGTGGTCACCGTGTGGTCACTCTGTGGTCACTCTGTGGTCACTCTGTGGTCACCGTGTGGTCACTCTGTGGTCACCGTGTGGTCACTCTGTGGTCACCGTGTGGTCACCGTGTGGTCACTCTGTGGTCACTCTGTGGTCACCCTGTGGTCACCCTGTGGTCACTCTGTGGTCACCGTGTGGTCACTCTGTGGTCACCGTGTGGTCACTCTGTGGTCACCGTGTGGTCACCCTGCGGTCACTCTGCGGTCACCGTGTGGTCACTCTGTGGTCACTCTGTGGTCACCGTGTGGTCACTCTGCGGTCACTCTGCGGTCACCTGCGGTCACTCTGCGGTCACTCTGCGGTCACCCTGTGGTCACTCTGTGGTCACCGTGTGGTCACCCTGTGGTCACTCTGTGGTCACTCTGTGGTCACCGTGTGGTCACTCTGTGGTCACTCTGTGGTCACCGTGTGGTCACTCTGTGGTCACCGTGTGGTCACTCTGCGGTCACTCTGCGGTCACCGTGTGGTCACTCTGCGGTCACTCTGCGGTCACCGTGTGGTCACTCTGTGGTCACCCTGTGGTCACTCTGTGGTCACTCTGCGGTCACTCTGTGGTCACCCTGTGGTCACTCTGTGGTCACTCTGCGGTCAAACTAAACTATTAAAATAATTATCACAATACTTATTTTGATATTTTAAAAACATCAACATCCGGGGTATTTAATAACAAAGACTAGTCTCGGTGTTTTGAATATCTTATGATGACGTAGTTCCTGTTCCTGATCTAATCCTCCCGCAGAGTCAGAAAAAGTGAAACCAGTATCTTTCTACTCAAACCAAACTAAAGTATATTTTATAAAGAAGGGTTTTAAGTTTTAGTTTCCTAATTTAATCTAATACATTTAAATGTAACTGATATTTATAACAGAGATGATGCTAGCTGTTAGCCGTCTGCTCCGGCTTCGTTCCGGTTATTTACCGGTTATTTACCGGTTATTTACCGGTTAAAAAAAGAGTCTTACCGCTCCAGCTGATTCATTCCTCCTCTGTCTGTCTCCCTCTCCTCGCTCCTAATCCTTTATTCCTTTATTTATTCACTTCTTTATCTTCGACTCTTTCCTCCTCATGCGGCTCCGCAGCGTCTCGCATCAGTTCTCGGCTGCCAGTGCGCATGTGCGGAAGCAGTGTGTACGGGATGGGAGAAGGGACAATCGTCTTCTTTTTTTTTTTTAAATGTATTTATTTTTTTGTACATTATCGGCGTAACATCACAAACTACATACCTGAAAATAGAATTCCAGGTGAAGGACAACCCGTAGATACAAAAAACACAAATAAATAAATAATTCAATTAACAAATAAATAAACAACTGAAAATCAAATTAAATAAATAAAAAAGTAGTGTATTGCGTTTCAAGAGAAAGCGAACAGCTGATAACTCAAACATAAACATGACATTTATTACAATCATTAATAGAATTCTTCTTCTGCTGCTTCTTTAACTGCTTCTTCTTCTTCTTCTGCTGCTTCTTCTTCTGCTGTGGCTTCTTCTTCTTCTTCTGCTGTTGCTTCTTCTTCAGTGTTTGGTATCTAGAATGTTGCATTACCCTCTCCCCCTGGATCTGAAGTTATCCTACAGTTTTCTTACTACTTTAAACAAAAATAAAAGGAATAATAATATTACTTTAAACTGAATGTTTTGAGTGGGATCTTTGTGTTTTGGGTTAGGGTCTTCTCTTAAAGAGAGGTGATGGTTAACAGCTGTGACTAGATTTTAAATACATTTATAATATAATAATAATATAAATCAAATAGGAGGTACCTGTACTGGATCAAAGTGTTTCTGTTTTAGGTTATTTATACTTTAATCAAACTTTTAACTCATTTTGTCTGAGATAAAGACTTTAATGTTTTATTTTCAACAACTTATAACAGGGGTAAGCAGTTTTATTTTGAAGAGATAAAAGAGAAACATTTCAGAATAAGATTCTTTATTAAAAAAGGCTAATGTGACATTTTTTTGTGACAGCGCCACTCAGTGGACATAACAGGAAGTGCACCCCTGTTTCTGACCACCTGACACACACCTGACTGACCAACCACAACACACATGTTGAGCTTTTATTTTGACATAAACAATGACAGAGATCAATAAGCGTTTCCTGCTGTGTGATGTCATACATACGGCTCCGCCCCCAGGTGACTTAAAATTCAGTATATGAAGTCACACAAATTTGCATCACCATATATGGGCATGGGGGCTGCATAGGCCCTCTGATTGGACAAGCCTGCCGTCTGTCTTCGAACCAATCAGGAAAAAGGAAAATATTTTTTTTAAGTGATTTTCCAGAAACAAACCTTTTTTAGAGCAACAAAGTAACGACAACAGCTGTCAATCAAAACAACAGCTGTCAATCAAAACATCAGCTGTCAATCAAAACATCAGCTGTCAATCAAAAAAATCAGCTGTCAGTCAAAACATCAGCTGTCAATCAAAAAAATCAGCTGTCAGTCAGAACATCAGCTGTCAGTCAAAACATCAGCTGTCAATCAAAACAACAGCTGTCAGTCAAAAATATCAGCTGTCAATCAAAATATCAGCTGTCAGTCAAAACATCAGCTGTCAGTCAGAACATCAGCTGTCAATCAAAACATCAGCTGTCAGTCAAAACATCAGCTGTCAATCAAAACATCAGCTGTCAATCATACATCAATCAAATGGAAACACAAAAAAGAAATGCAGCGGTCACTAAGGTAACCAGAACAGTTGATGATGTCATCAGTCATGAGTTGGATCAGCATTCAGCAGGGAGGTTAGTCTGCGTCACAGGTTGTCATGGTTACTGACATGTGGGCGGGGCTTAAACAGACCTCCGACCTGTGCAGAAAAAAAACTAACCTTTACATTAAACATGGGTGTCATCACCCTTTGACCCGTCAGAAGTCCCCGCCCTTGATTTCTGGCAGTCAATTGATCAGAAGGGGCGGGGCTTCCACCAATGCTACACTACGCTTACTACACCTACCCACAATCCATTGTTCCAGTGCAACAGCTCAGCTAACTAATAAGAGCTGACCTAACAACTAGCCTAGCATGGTATATCACCCACAGTGCTACAGAGGCTAACAACGAGCTGATTGAGCTAACGGCTAACGAGCAGCTGATTGGTTGAGGCCTAGTCCACACGTAGACGGGTATTCAAGAAAAACCTAATTTTGCATTTTTGCCATTCGTGCTGAAACTGCGTTTTAGGTGTTTCTGTGTTTGACGTCATCGTGCGACGCTGTCAATTTAGTTTACATGAGATTAGTGCGATGGCAGACGTAAACCAAACTAGCGCTGGTGCTAACGATGCTAACTGGAATAAATATTAATGGATAAAGCCTGAGTGGCGTTCCCCGTCTGTTCCTGCAGGGGGCGCTGGAGTCCCATCGATGGCGGTCTCCATGGTTTTAAACCTCCTGACAAACCGTTACACTGCGCCCACCTGTCAATCAGGTCAGCTACACGCCTTATTGTGAATAACTCTTATCCTTCATCAAATCAAAACTGATGAGTCATCAAAACATTCACCCCCCGTACAGTGTGTGTCCATCCAGACATGAGCTAATCACACCTATTTGGTTTTTTGAACCAGGCTGTAAACATGTTCATCTCTGCTGTAAAAACAGGCTTTTTAGAATGGGTGTGTATGTGACTTCCTGTGCTTCTGCAGCCAGCCTCTAGTGGACACTCCAGGAACTGCAGGGTTTTACACTTCAGCATCAGCTTCATGTTTCAACACTGGAGGTTACTGCTTGGACGAGACCCGGTCTGACTTCGGGTTGGTGGAACAACTTTGAAAGAACATTTTCACATGTCCAGGACAACGCTGTTCACTTGGCGTGTTCATGAGAGCCGTGACAGCGTTTGTGCGTTTTTATGAAGACGAAGATGTTTTAGAGACATCAGTGTGTCTTATTTCATTAAAAGAGGTTTTAAAAATACCTGCCTATGTGTGGACGAGACCTGAGATTGTCGAGGAAAGACTTTGATCCCTGATTGAACCCGATGATATGTTTTTTATAAAAACCTTGATCAGTTCAAAATGTGTCAATCAAATCTTCAAAGTTCTGATTTAAAGTTTAAATGATTTAAAAAGTGCAAAATATCATTTTAACACGATTGAAAGAGGGAAAGAGTTTAACACTAAAGGGAGACAGGTAGGTATTAAATAAATAATGAAAACATATTTAAAAAAATCAGTTATTTTTAGATTATTTAAAGTGAGAGAGTAACAAAAAATGAAAAAAACATAAAAAATTATTTTAAGATTTTTTTAACTCTTGAATAAAAACAGTTTTCAAAGTTAAACTTTTCTGAACTCTGATCTGTTTGTGCTTTCTAACTCACAAAGACACCTGATTGGTTTGTTCAGCCTGATGTCAGCACAGTGACTCCGCCCACAGCCCATCAGCTCTGCCTCCTGATTGGTCAGAACTCCTGATTGTCATAAGTATCGTTCAGTTATTGGAGGATTTATTGCTCTCACAGAGACCACAGTGTTCACTTTGCTGGTTCAATAAAGCTGGCTTCTTTCAAACAGTTTGTAAACAAACGGCTGCTTGTCAATAAAGTTTGATTCAAATGTTCCACACATTAATAAAGTTTTCATTTAAATCATCTGTGTTTAGAGCAGCTAACAGGCTAACTGTAGCACCGCCTGGAAGACATTAACGACCTCATCTTCATCGTCTTTATCACCATCATCATCACACACACATGAACACACACACACAGAGACACACACACAAACACACAGACACAGACACAGACACACACACACACACACACACACACACACACACACACACAGACACAGACACAGACACAGACACACACACACACACACACACACACAGACACACACACAGACACACACACACACACACACACACACACACACACACACACACACACACACACACACACACACACACACACACACACACACACACACACACAGACACAGACACACACACACACACACACACACACACACACACACACACACACACACACACACACACACACACACACACACACACACACACACACACACACACACACACACTCAGTGCTCGTTGGGCATGTGTCGGATGGTGTGAAAGATCCAGTCCATCTTGGTGCTCCAGCCGCCGTGATGAGCGTCGTTCATCTGTTTGGTAAAATACTCCAGCGCCTCCTGCTGGGTCTTCTCTGAAAGACAGACAGGTCAGAGAGAGAGAAAGAGAGACAGGTCAGAGAGAGACAGACAGGTCAGAGAGAGAGAGAGAGAGACAGGTCAGAGAGAGAGAGACAGGTCAGAGAGAGACAGACAGGTCAGAGAGAGAGAGAGAGAGACAGGTCAGAGAGAGAGAGAGAGACAGGTCAGAGAGAGACAGACAGGTCAGAGAGAGACAGACAGGTCAGAGAGAGAGAGACAGACAGGTCAGAGAGAGAGAAAGAGAGACAGGTCAGAGAAAGAGAGACAGGTCAGAGAGAGAGAGAAAGAGAGACAGGTCAGAGAGAGACAGACAGGTCAGAGAGAGACAGACAGGTCAGAGAGAGAGAGAGAGACAGGTCAGAGAGAGACAGACAGGTCAGAGAGAGAGAGAGAGAGACAGGTCAGAGAGAGACAGACAGGTCAGAGAGAGAGAGAGAGAGACAGGTCAGAGAGAGAGAGACAGGTCAGAGAGAGACAGACAGGTCAGAGAGAGAGAGAGAGAGACAGGTCAGAGAGAGAGACAGGTCAGAGAGAGACAGACAGGTCAGAGAGAGAGAGAGAGAGACAGGTCAGAGAGAGACAGACAGGTCAGAGAGAGACAGACAGGTCAGAGAGAGAGAGACAGACAGGTCAGAGAGAGAGAAAGAGAGACAGGTCAGAGAAAGAGAGACAGGTCAGAGAGAGAGAGAAAGAGAGACAGGTCAGAGAGAGACAGACAGGTCAGAGAGAGACAGACAGGTCAGAGAGAGAGAGAGAGACAGGTCAGAGAGAGACAGACAGGTCAG